AAACCTCAGCACAATTTGAATATTAGTTATTTTGGGAAAGATAAGTTTTACTACTAATATAGGGTACTACATAAGGAATTGACCACGCAAAATAGTTGAGTATTCATGAACTTTTGGAATGTAGTTCAGTCCAAATATAAGACAAACCTTTAAAACATCCACTTAAAAGCCTTAGACAAACCTTTAGAACATCTGTTTAAAAGCCTTAGAGCTGGATGTTAATAATTAATACATTCCCCCATTTTAATGTGTACACACACAATTTGAACTGAATGCATCATCAGAATATTCTGCCCCTAACAATTTTGGTTAATCTAGTTTTTTCCAGGATGCAGATGCTAATCAGAAGAGTTAACTATTGCAATTAGCTCTAACCAAAATGTATTTTACAAAAAGCCTCAGTCCCTTTGCATTTCATCAAAAACCTCAGAACTCACTCAGCTCTATTTACCAAACAGAGTTGCCCCTTCTCCCTATGGATCCAGCTAATAAACCTTGAAGATAACAAGTGGCATTTAGACTATAAACACTTTTACATTTAGAAGTGCTCTCCTTAAACCACTGCCTCCTACACATATTAGAAAGTATCTTGTTCTATGCAAGTGTAAATTGATGGAATTAGTGAGATGAAATGTAAACTGTTGATCATCAGCAGTCCATACTCTCTCCAGCATGGAAGGAAGATTTCAGAATTCCATTATCACCCAGAGCAGTACTAATATGTAATGCGTAGGCAAGACCTTTGCACTCCTTCTTCCATATAGGACACACCAGCAAAGTCTTCATAAGAACCTATTTTTACACAAGATTCTCAATGGTGAGTCAATCCACCTCTTCTCCAGGGTGAAATTCCAAAGCCTTATCTTATCTATATCTCTGTATATCCTGAATACTGGGGATGAAAGTAATGGCATGATTCAACCCTAACTACTTATATTTTATTGAACATATTCAGTGTTGGGCTCTTTGAAGAAAAAATATAAAATTGGGCAAAACAATGTGTTAAACTGATTTTTAACAAGAGGAGGTCCTGTTGCTTAAAAATCACAAAACATTAACTGTGGCACTGATTGAACGCAGAGCCACATATAGATATAGGGGATAACAGTATGCACAGGTATGAAAGGCCTTCTCAAACTCTTCAGTTTAAGAGCAGGCCTGTAGGTGGCCTGTAACATTTTAGGTATGGCCTGGAGCATTTTCAAATATCTGGGCAAAAAGGAAAAGCTTTTGATACTATTACTCCAAAGAATGGAAATTACTCTTCCCCCAAGTTGTTTGCAGGAGTTAGTCATGAAAAGAAAATTCACAAAGTACACTCACAAAGGAACATGAATAAGCAATGTACAGTGCTTATGTGTCTACTAATGTCTACTGGTTCTTAGTGTCTACTAATGTCATTAAGTGAACAAATAATTTCCTATATCTAGTAGATAAAATTGAACATGGAATCCAAAAAAACCCAGGTTCAAATCCTGTCTCAAATTTGTAATAGTTGTATAACCCTGGGTAAGTTGCTTAATTACTCCCAGCTTCAGCTTTATCATCTGTAAAATGGAGTTGTTACCCATAGTGTTTACCTCATAAAGATGTTGTGAGGATCAAATGAGATCATAGATGTAAAGCACAGGGCAAAATTTAAAGTGGTACATAATATATCAATAATTATTATTCCCCTAGTAAAATCACAGTTTAGGAGATACAGTTAATATTGAACAATGCATATTTGCACAGATTAATTTTACTTAAATATCATCCTCACTCATCCAGGATAGGCTTAAAGACAGATAGGCAAGACAACCTCCTGCCATCCAAACATTATCTAGTCAATGATTCTAAAACACTGGAGGAAACCTTTTAAATGTTGTACTTCATTAGGCCACAAACCTAGAATGAAGCAGTATTTTCAATACAAGCTACATAGAGTTTTAAGTGTATGGCCATGTAAACAGCACTTATGGTTGTAGTTTGACAAGAATGCCATTTTACTCAGGTATATTCAAATTTGCCAAAGGGCCTACCTTAATTCATTTCAAACAGAAGAGGGAGGTGGATGATATTCTGGCTAAAACTGAAATATTTATATTCATATTTGTAGAAGTCAAACATAATTGACAACAACCATTGAACACAATTCTCTTCTAGTACCATAGCAACAGCTTATGAAGTTATTCCAGTTAATACAAATTCCAGTTTTCCCATAATACCCCAAGATCCATCCCCAAAGAAATGAAATATAAGGGAACCATAAAAATTTAATTTTAATGATACAGAAATAGTATATAGTACATTCCTTTTCACAGCAGCACTTCATTCATCTCTAAAAAATTTAACAAAATTAAGGCTAAATCAGAGCAACCTGATAATAATGGGATATCCAATGATGGTTTTTTAAGAATGTTTTCATAAATAAAGCATATTCTTCAAGCAAAAAAAAAAAAGTTTAACAAGATACCAAGAATGGAAAGCACACAATAAAGCATGTTTCTTTACACCAAACTAACAATAAACAAACCCCCAAACAATTTGAAAATTACAAATGGAACCAAAAACCCCAACATAATGTAAAGGCTTTCAGGAGTTGGAATTATACAGTATTAGGCCATTTTGTATAATAAAGCCAACTGTCACCAGGAACACCTAAGTCTCCATGATATTCCTTTAGGAAAAAAAAGTGCTTTAAATATGTGTATGTATGTATATGTGTGAGTATTTACATATATCTATATTATATCTCTATATATGCATGATACATATATAGCTACTTATAGATATATGTCAAATTCAAGTTAACTATTTATATAGTGGATATTTGTTTTCTGAAACTCTGGTTGCTAAAGGTTTTCAGCACTGAGCTTCTTTTCCTTACCTTATCCAGGCAAAAAGAAAGAATTTATGTCTTCAGTACTGCAAAGGAAAAGGTGCCTCCCTGCTAGAGACAGGAAAACAAGAAATAAAATCCTTTCTCCTCCTCCCAAAGTAATATATATTTAATTTCTTTTCAACTTTTGTCTAAAAATATTTGCACTCTGGGTCAAGCTTATTTTCTATTTTTTTAATCTTGTTTACAGCCACAAAAACAGGCCTTTAACAAGTCTACTGAATCCTTCCCTTTGCTCACCTAATAGGTGACAATTTTAGAAAGTCTTCACTGGTTCCTATAAAACAAAAGGTCCCCCCCCCTCCTTGTTACTCAGAATAATATTTATATTTTTTTTAAAATATCAAGTAGAATGTTGATTTTCAGTAGCATGATTTGCTTTCTGAAATCCTCTGCTCTGAACAGACAAGAGTAACATCTATCTATGACTAATGTGAGCCCTTGTTTACATTTAGTACCTCTCATCACATATGTTTTCAAGAGTTTGTCCGCTATTTTATTGGCAAATGTTGGTTTCTATTTTGTATTTTTGTCTAAGCTTTGGGAATTTCATAATTTTTTTTCATCAACAGAAGGGGGTAGATGTTTTGTTAATGTTACCATTTCCTAAAAAAAATCCTATTCCACCCAACAAGAAAAAGTAAACTATTACCTCACAATTTCCACACATGATTGTATATTTCCACCTAGCAAGCAGCTGATATTGTGCTGTCTCCAACTTTACACGGTAACTTTTCTCCTTATTTCTTTGGTCTGCAGAAACTATATTTTTCCAGAGACTTCAAATAGTGAGGGAAAAGTCCAGATAACACAACAAAAATTCATCTTAAAATATGGGAAGAATTATTTGCATTTGGGAAGATATAGCCATAATACATTCTTTCCCAATGACCACAGATATCTAAGGGAAAGCCAGTTAAAATAGATGAAATTTATACTTTATGTAGCCTTGCACGCAAATCACACATCTGATGCTATTGTTAATCCTTAATTATTCACATTAATACCAGGGACCATTAACAAAATAATTTAAGATAACCCAATGTCACAATTATGGTGTAAATTTCCTAGGATAGGGACCATATCTTATGCTTCTTCTGAAGTCTCCATAGAGCTTAGCACAGAGTTAAGCAAATAATTATGGGTACTTAAAACTTATCTGATGATAACCGCTAAGACTCAGCTAAAGCCTGCTATTCCGTATTATTGAATATCTAGAACAACTCTGCCCACCACTATCCAAAAGCACAAAATCATATAGCTAAGCAGTGAGTGTCAAGATAAAGGTGAAAAGAGAGAGTAACGCCTGTATATAATCTATATTCACTCAGAAAATCAGATAATTAGATAATATGACTGAATATATAAAATGTTTTATTTCAAAAACATTACTATGTGATGAACACAACTTGGGGGGAAAAGCAGGTCAAATAAATTTGGAACAAGAAGGAACTAGAGAATCTACCAATTATATAATTGGCTAATACAAATATTTATTAAGTTATTCTTAAGAAATAACTTATAAATATCAGTAAATTCTTTTTTAACATTTTCGTTCTTTTGAACAGAATACATTTATTTTCCTTTTCACCTATCATAGTATGAAATGTTTCTTTAATATGGTGGAAGCTCTTTTATTCTGCTGCTATTAGGAGAAAAGATCTTACAGGCCGACTATATTAACTGTTTAATATTTGTCTTTTGGTGGACATAAAATAAAACATTTTTATCCACATTTGTGTGTAATAATGATTATGCCAAATTAGGATTCTCATGTATTATCTTTTCTCTTGATTACTGAAAAAGCAGTAGGGGGAAGAAAGCATTTCCAAGTATTTGAAAAACTTTGTAAAGGTTGAAGAACTGAATTTGACATAAAAAAAAAAAAGAGGGACTAGCGTAGGAAAAGGGAAAAGCTATAACACCACCTAAGTACATTACCAGTGTCCTCTCTCCCTACCTTGCCCATTTGACAGTTCAGACACATTGGGTGAAAAAAGAGAAAGGGAAGGAGAAAAATATAAAGCGAAAGAGGAAGACAAGATGGGTACTTCTGGTTGGTTTTTTACCACCTTAAAAAAATTTCAAGTCATCAAAAAAGAACCAGAGTACTGTTCTCTCTCGTTCCCTCTACTATTACTTTTATTTTAAGTGCTGTTGACAAGGTAAAACAGTAAATTAAAATCCCAGTATAACAAAAATAAATAAATTATGGCTAAGGAACCTTGTACAGAAAAAATGTACCACAAACTTCAATGGGAAACAATACAAGCATTAAATCATCAGTTCTTTAAAAACTAACTAAAAATCTTTCCTCAAAGGCAGGTTTTCCTCAAGTCAGATATTTTAAAAAAATTTTGAAGGAAAGAATTATCTACTAGTTTCCTCTCATCAAATGCCCAACTGGTATTAAATATCAACAGTGATATCGAAAGATAGATACGAAATAAAGATAATGAAGATAAAAAGATAATGAAGATAAAAGATTTTACATTTGAATCCTGACCTATCGTCTAGAGTAAGTAGTATGTTTTATAATTATGTTAATGAACTTAGCTGAAAAAGTATTATATAAATTAAAGAATATGAAATCTGGAAGGGAACTTACAGGTCACCTTATTCCACTCCCTAATTTTTCAGATTAAGAAACTGAGGCCACAAGAAGTTAGTGACTTGCCTAGGGTCAAATATATAGTAAGAAATCCAAAACTAGAACACAGATCTCCTGAGTCCCAATACAGTGATATTTAAAATATATGGCACTTCCCCAAAATATTATAGAACAAATCTTAGTTTGTGAATATAGACTCGCTTTCCAACAATTTGTGATAGTAATTTTTTGTACATTGTTCCAGTTTTTAAAATCAATTAATATTTTTAAAGGAACAATGCAATTAAAGAAAGTGTTACTTTTTTTAAATTTTCATTATTTGTAAAGATTTTAGCTATATGGGCAATTTTTTATGATGTTAAACACTTTCATAGTCATATGCTATAAGCACACAACCTCTTTCCTTTCTGCATGGTTAGGAAGTTAGCCCATAGACATCAAAAGTATAAAATAATTTGGAGACTACACATTCCACAACAATGAAATTCATATCTATAGATAGAATCTACAACATCCAATTGCGGTATATACACACAATGGATTTTAACTAAAAAAAAAAATCAGGCTTTTTTTCTTAGTTTAGTCTTAAGTCAGGATGAAGACAGCTGACAGTATGGTTTCACTGAATACAAAAAGATTCATAAGAAGCACTATCTCGGATGAAACTAATCTGAACTTAGTTTCTTAGCTATGGCCCTGGATAGATAAACTTTTTAGTCCTAGGCATTTAGATTTAAATATACTAAAAGGTTATGGGACCTAATATCTTTTTAGGAAAAATTTACCATATAACTTCATACACCAAATTTAATTTATTTGGACTACATTTATGTAGGACTGGCTACTAAAAGATAGTATTTGGTTCAACCTAACACCTGAACACTTTTATAAATTTACTATTCCCCATTCCACTAAAAAGTTTATAAAGAAGTCTGAAAAAATAGATCAGTCAGCTGATATCTACTACTATACATCAATAGCTTCATTTGTCAAATATTACTGCCCCAATCCTTCAAGACCATTACATCACAAAAGACATTTTTTTTTTAGAAAACAGTTTCATGTACTTGTCAGGAAAAAAAAAAAAACAAACAGAAATCAACAGTATTGGGGGGAAGAGTAGGTATTTTCTGACAACAACTGCAGAAACACAAATTCAGAGGATTCCTGACATGCAAAACCTTGAACTAGATAGGAAAGAGTTAACAAAACAAATTCAGCAAAACAACTCTAATAACTGTGTTGAAATCAAACCTCTTAAAAAAAACAAATTATTTCTTCCTCAAGGCAACCATTAGCTACAAAGCAAAAATTATTTGGTATCCTTGGTCCACTGTAATTCTCCAAGCACAGGGTCATGTGTGTCTGTTGACATTCTCAATGGACGAAGGAGGTTTTTAAAACTGTTACAATTCAATTTCTATACTTCCAAAAATATTATATGATCAATGCACTTAACTTAAAGCTTCAGGTTTTAATAACTTCATTAGACTTTTTAAAAAACCAACACAAACATACTTTCTAGAGTGCAAAATACTTCTTATTTAAATATTTAATAACATAAATGCAATTTGTTTTTCAATGAATTAATCCTTTTCTTAAGGATTATCACCACGGAAGCATCCAGTGCCGGCAATGGATGCTAATCAGGACATCCAACTCAAGTAAAATGCAACAGTAAAAATTTTCATACAGTGTCTTCTTTCCAGTTGATCATAATTATTTACTTGTACAAACTCATTGTTGGACTCTGATACATGCACATATATGCATCACAAAGAAGTCTTCGTGCACAGCCTTGGATTCTCCTGGAGTCCAGGGAATGCAGTTCTTCTAGAGACATTTTCAAGTACTCCCCAACTTCTGGGCATGGGGTAACTTGAGGAATGTTAAACCCATTCTGCCCACCTGTAAAAAATAGAAATATTTCTTTTCAGAGCTCATTCAACAAAAATTTATCCAACAAAAAAGTCTTCAAGTCTATCTGCTACCATGTCAAACAAACACAACACAAGAGTAAGACTAAAGGAACCATTCTTTTGTTTTTTTCAATTCTAGTTTTAGGAGGCTTATTTTGAGACCTAAATGAAATTTACTATGTAGAAAATATGATGAAACTGCAGATAACTATTGTGCTGTGAATGTTCTCAATTACCAAATCATCATATCAGCTAAGTTCAACAAATGATTCAAAAATGATGGTTCCCCTGGATAGCATCAGAAAAACCTGGGAAGACTTACACGAACTGCTACAAAGTGAAGTAAACAGAATCAGGAGAACAACTTACACTGTAACAGCAACATTGATAATTATCTATGAAAGAAACTATGTCTTTATTCCTCTCCAGACTGTACTCTTGATTCCCTAGACTTTTTCTATCATTCTCCAACACCAGGTACCTTCCTCTCCTGTCAACCTCCACTTTCAGCTTCCTTTTATGTGTTGTCATCCCTTATCTGATCAACACAATGACCCACCATTAATTCTCAAGGACTCATGATGAAAAATACTCTCCACCTCCAAATGGAGAGCTGATGGACTCAGAGTGTAGACTGAAGTACATTTTTTTTCCTTTCTTATTTTTCTTGCCTTTTTTGGGGGGGGGGGGGAACATGACTAATGCAGAAGTATGTTTTACATGATTTCACAGGTATAATGGGTATCATATTTCTTGCTTTTTCAATGTTCTAGTTTTAGGGTACTCACAAAAATAAACTCTGCTGATTATCAGAGTCCAAGGACAGATTGAAAATGAGGCTACAGATAAGAATTGTCCTCTCCCTTCTTCATACTACCTCCTAATTCTCAAACTAGGTATTTTACAATCCTATGATTTAGTAAGGATTTATTAGCAGAGATCTGAAAGCATCTGATTTAACTTCTGACAACCCTAGGTAGCAAGTGAAACCTGTTGCTACCTTAAAAATACTCCAGTTTCTTAGTTTCCAAAAAGATCTTTTGGCTTAACAGTAAAATCAAAATAAAAAAAAATACAAAAAAACAGGAAATGTTTTATTTCCTTCAAGATTAAGTGCAAGCATCCATGTATCTATGAAGATTTTCCTGATCCCCCAGCTGCTAGTGTATTCTCTCCTCAAATTACCTTGTGAATACTTCTGTACATATTATGCAAATACTTAGATATGTACATGTGGTCTCCCCCTGTTAAATTAAAGCTTTTAAGGAGGAACAAAAGTGACTTTCTTACTTTTATCTTTGTATCCCTAGTGTTCATAGCTAAGTGCCTCAAAGAGAGGAAAATAAAATTGCTATCTGATTTTAATGCATTGATGAATTATTTGAAAAGAAATATATAAATGTGGTTTTCTAAGTCAATATGGGGCCCACAGAGGTCCTTATGTAAGACTTAGTGGTCCCTGTTTCTATTTGAGTTTCACACCACTATTCTAGGCAACCCTCTAAGATTACAGTTATAGAGAAGATGCTGACTTGCACAAGTAGAAGTATTCTTACCTGGAATTTCCCTATGCCAAGGAAATCACAGGTCCAATCTATCCCTAGGATTTAGTAATGGCTCATTTGTTGAGGCTTAATAGCACTCTATTTTACTTTTGGTAGTTGTAGGGTTGGGCACAGTAAGAAAGCAATAGAGGGTGAAGATAGTAGAAGCTGGAGATAGAATAGGAAAGGATAACAGTAGAGCATGGAGATAGAAGGAAGGAAAGTCAACAGGAAGGGGTGGGGTGCAGAAAAGGAGAGAGGAGGCTGGTGAATACAAAACTGAAATATTTCACTTTTGCCTAGGTCTGTTCCTGATCTTACAGTCTTATATATCCTATATTATGGAAGGTGGTACATGAAGTACAAGTAGAAAAAGCTTATTTTGTAAGAGGTATGGGAAATTTTATAGCTTTTTTTAAAAATGCTATTCTTAGGAGGGCAGCTAGGTGGTGCAGTGCATAGAACACCGGTCATGGATTCAGGAGGACCTGAGTTCAAATCCGACCTCAGACACATAATATTTACTAGCTGTGTGACCCTGGGCAAGTCACTTAACCCCAACTGCCTAGACCAAAAAAAAAATGCTATTCTTAGTTCCCTATATTGAAGAATGAGACGGGGAATAGAAGAAACAGGCAACAGAACCAGTAGTCACAAGTGTTTAGGACTATATCTACTTACTAATACGTGAACAGCTTAATTTGTCAAATATCACTGCCCTAATTCCCCAAGACCAATACATCACAACACAACTAATGTAGAACCATAAATCCAGAAGATTCCAGAAATGCAAAAACTTCTAATCTATGGATTTCTAATCCATTAGAAAGAAATTTCTAATTTCTAATTTTTAATCTATGGATTAGATTTTTCGAAAGATTAGGATCTTTGTAACAAAGAGACATAATAAAATTTCACATACAAAACTACTGATTTTAATCTCGTTTTTAGATTACTAATGTGTTTCAAGATTCAGTAATGTGTCACAAAAATGGTGATACATCTATGGTATATACTATGTAGCATAATCTAATAGGATTTCTTTATTCTAAGCGTTAATTTGAGAGTCCATAAACTTGTTGGGTTTTTTCAAATAACTGTATTTCAATATAACTGGTTTCTTTTGTAATCTTATGTATTTTGCTCAACGCACTTGAAAACATTATTCTGAGAAAGGGTTCACAGGCTTCTCCAGACTGCCAAAAGGGTCCATAACACACAAAAATGTTTAAGAACCTCTGTATTCTCTCTCAGTGATTTCATTATCTCCCAATGGTTCTGTCCCTATAGACTCTCCCTCTGATTAGTTGATTCCTCCCAGGGCCTCCAATTTAAGAATACCCAGGCTAACCATGCCTTCATTCCTCTCCAGGCCATACCTCTTGACTCTCCAAAGGATTTTTTCTAAGATGCCAACAAACCTCTTCACCCTGGAAGATTACTCCACCCTTGGAGACTACTACTCACATTAGAAATACTCTCCACCCTCATGGCCTCTCCCTCTAATTGGGTAGTTCCTCCCAGAACCTCAATTTAAGAAGGATGCCCCGGCCAACTAAATCTTTATTCCTCTCCAGACTGTACTCTTACACTTGTAAGCTCCTTGAGGGTAGAGATTGTGTTTTTCCTTGTATTTGTATTTCCCAGTGCTTAGTTCAGCACAGTGCCTTGCACATACTTGTTGACTTGATTTGACTTTAATTATCTCTACAAAGATGACTCCCAAATCTACCTCTATTACAGTCACTCAGATTGTACAATCTCAGAGCTATCCTTGATAACACCTTTTCCCAAAAAAATGTCTTATATCCATTCAGTTCTCTCCCCTCACGTAGTTATCATCCTCTTGAAATAACCTCCTAGTCTCCTTATTTCTAGTCGTCCCTCTCCCAGATCCATTTTTCATACAACTGCTAAAATAACGTGTGTACAAAATCTGACTATGTTGTTCCCCAACTCAAGAATCTTCAGCAGCTTCCTATTGCCACTAGGATAAAATACAAACCCCTTTCTAATGCCCAGAACATAA